AAAAACATTTATGGGACCTGAACCTGGACCCGGACCCGGTCCCGAAAAACATTTATGGGACTTGAACCCAGACCCAGACCCGGACCCGGACCCTGACTCGGACCCGGATTGGACCCGACCAAAAAATAAAAAAAATATGAATACTTAGGCATATTTAAATATTTTGTTAAATATATACATGTATTATTTAAATATTATAACTTAAAAATATAGTTATATTTATTTAAATATATATGTCACGAAATATTAATACTATTTGGGTCGGGTCTACATGGACCTGGATCAGGACCCGTACCCAAATAGTGTTCGGGTCCAAATCTTGGACCTGGACCCAACCCATCGGGTCCAATTTTTGGAGCCATACTCGCACCAGGGTTGGATCCAGGTCCATTGCCACCCCTATAAGCTGATTCCATTAGTAGGGGAGCCCTTGGTAAGCGTATTCCATATATGGAATCCTAGACTAAAAACTTCTTGCTTATAAATGACTTGAAACCTTAAATCTTTGGCCTTTTGGAATTCGTTTCATGGGAATTTCCGCCCTGGTTCGAGGTGGTTTGGTGCATGACTTCGATAAGTTCGTAATCTCGATTCCAAGTTGAGGGGTTGCAATTCCAACATGGTAGGAATCTCAATTCCAACTGTGTAGGAGCAAGATTCCCAAATGGTTGGAATCCCAGCTTCATGTGCTATGCATTGTGCGGATGGCGATTCCATTATAGGAATTATCTGGCCACTAGTGATTTTGCGATTCTGCTTCCCTAAAAGATTCGGGATCACAAATGTTTCCATCAACTACAAGTGCAACTCCCTTTAAAAGCTGTTTAGCTCACAAGACCTCTCATCTATTGTGAGTTAAAGCCATTGGAGAGTGATTTAGGTGGGCTGGTGGAGTTTGATCTCAGAGTTGAGAGTTTGCTGCAGAGGTGAACTAGATGGATTGTTTATTTTAATTCATGCTCATGCACATTTTCTTAATTTATTCTTGTGTGGTTTACCATTACGCTTGGGCTGAGTTTTTGTTGGATGAGAAATGTAGTTTTTTCGAATTCAAAAAAGAAAGGATAAAAGAAGCATCCCCCTTGCATAAGAACACGTGTGCATGTGTTATAGGCATGAGTAGGAGGTTTCTTAAAATGGATAGTTGTTGGCCTTAGCTTCGTCATGAGGCCATGGTGTCCATACCATGGCTGTTTCCTGGGTTTCCTGGGTGTAGTCTGCTAATTGCAACATATGGGATCTTGCGGCCTTTGACGAAGGAAATTTAAAATTTCTAGAGGAGCTTTACCAATGACAGCTTTGGCCCTCTGGACAACATCTTCATCTTCCATTCCTAAATGCACATATTTATGCAAGGGACTGATGGACTTCATACTAATTCTGCATGACATCAACACTGTTAAACTTGAAGAAATGCGTGGCTGATGAACCTTGAAATTGACACTAAAAAAAGTAACTATTGTGGGATCTGCTGAAACTCCACTGCATATGAGAAGGGGTGAAGTTGTTTTTACAGTATTGCCTGACCTTTGATTATGACTGATGAGCCGCCCCTAATCCCCTGCCTTGAATCTTGTGGGCTTCTTACCACTACTCAAGTTGACAATGAAACTAATTTTCCAATTCATATTTCCCCTTCAGAGTCTATTGTGATCTCCAATGTTGAAAAATGCAGAGGCAGCTGCCAAGGCGGCACCTTGCCTGCCTAAGATGACGCCATATGACATGGATTTTTTTTATTATTTATTATTGTTATTATTATTATTATTTTTTGGGGGGGAGGTGGGGGTTGGGGTTGGTTTAATATATGGTATAATATACACATAAGGGGTTGGGGTGTGATACATAGACGTACTACATAATATAAAAAAAGTGAAAAGTAGAGAGAAAAGGAGGGTAGAGACTTATCATCTACCCTCAGACTCTTTCTATAATATCTAATACTATGTAATATATTAATGTAATAATAATCTGTAGGATATTATTAATTTACTGTAGTACTATATAATACTAATAATATGAGGTAATAAATAGCTAATACTATAATTTACTATAGCAGTATGGTACTACAATATTGAAATATTTTTATAGTACCATAGTACTATAGTGGTCAATACATGTAATAATGCTAGTACTATATCATGCTCTATAATATATAATAGTAGTTTAATATAATACTTTATAATATGTAAATAGTGTAATAGTATTATAATCAAGGTTTCAAAAAACGCTAGGTGGCCCCTAGGCAAATGCCTAGAAACTCAGGTTCCTTGTAGTACAAATTCTTTAGATACTTTAACTTTTTTTTTTTTACAGGCATATCGCATGTTATTAATAAACATGTTTAAAACCTCAAATCATAGAAAATTTAGTTAAAAAACTTAAAATTTTTTAAAAGTCTAATAGTCCATAGCGTATTACTATATTAGTAATAGTTTCCGACTCTCCATATTCTATAATCACATGGAGTCCAACTCTCCAAGTCTTCAACAAATTTACAAAAGTATAAAACCAAATAACCAATAGTTCGAAAAGGTGTAAAGTCTAACATCCAAAGTAAAAAACAAGATAGTGCAGTAAAGTTGAAATACATAATCATTGTCATAGTCAATTCTTTTCCCAACGAATTGGGGTCGGCTACATGAATCTTAGTCAGCCATTCTGCTCTATTAAGGGTCGTACCCTTGGTGAGGCCATAAATCCTTATATCTTTTCTCACTACTTCCAACCATGTCTTTTTAGGCCTACCTTTTTCCCTTTTTGAGCCTTCTACTTGAACCGTAGTTTCCGGGAGCGCCCAACTAGGTTGGCGTTCTCGCTTCAGAACCCTGCTCCGGTGCTCCGTGGCCGGGATCTTGAGCGGAACTCACTCTCCGAGCTCCGGAGCTTTGGGCAGACGTCGATCTGATGCTCTTGCTCTCGGAACGGGAGCCGTTCCTGCTCTCGGAGCAGGAGCCGTTCCCTCTCTCGCTCCCAGTAACTATGACTTGAACTAACTTGCACCTTCATTTCTTCAATCATCATCAGTAATGATCAGAATAAACATCATCATCGCTTGCATCTCCATCTGAATCGTTGCCGTCATCATCAAAATCGTCACCCTATTCAACATATTGCTCATTTTCCATGGTTTCTTTTGAATCTGCCTCCAACTCCTCTATCTCCCTTGTCCTCTGTGAGTGTGTTGTACCAGCACCAAGTTGTTAATCGAGTGGCCCTCCTAGGATCAAAAGTTGGACCTGAAGCCTGCTCGATCATTCTGAGGTCGAACCCATCTCAGGGAAGACCTCTTCAGTACCAGTAGAGGCACCTCCACTTAGGGAATGCCTAGATGCTTTCAAAGGCAGCCTGGCGGCCGAATTTTTGAACCATGGTGATCTCCCATTCCATCAGTTTAGAAATAGGCCTTGTTTTGTTAGGACCAATCTGGACATCCAGTAAAGTGGCTATTGTGTGCATTTTGGTGCATTACAGTCAATACGAATCTTAAGAAACCCTGGTGGTATTGGTTTAATTGATCTTTGGATCTTAAAATGCCACTGAATTGGATCTGTAAACTTCTCGAGTATCTAAAGTAATATTGTATCCTATTTCACTCAGTAAATTTGTCAAACTTCTCGAGTATCTGAAGCAATATTGTATCGTATGTCACTAAGTACTCTGGCTAGGAAGCTAGAAGTTTTTATTGATGGGTTGTTTAACTGCATATCAGTTGTTATACATATTTATTTTTTGAAAATATTTGTTTTATTATTATGTTTGTACTTTGTACTTGATGTTTGTTCAGTGTTCACTTGGAAAATGGGTTTTCTCTCTTTTTTATAGATTACTTGGATGTTGCATGTATTCTAATATTTATATTTGATTGGAAATCCTTGTTATGCTTTTGCATTGTTCAATCTGAGAAACTTGACCTTTGCTATTTTCAGATTCGCGGCTTGTTTATACCTGAATGTCAACCTGATTGTTTCATGGAGTCTTGCTGCCCTTGGCTTCTTCCGCCTCTTATTTTAAGTGGGGAAAGTTCTAACATGAATTGGGCTGCAACAGTAAGAGGCGTTGACCCTTTTGTTCCTTTTAGTTTCTATTGTTTTGGATATTGGTATGTCCTAATAGTCTGACTTTACTAATGGCTGGGCTTATTTATTGATTGGGATGACCCAAAAAAATGCCTTACAAGTCATATTCATGGGCTAGCTGGAGCATCCTTGGGGTGTGTGGTGGTGGCTAGTTTTGAATGTGAATCGCCTAGGAATCCCCGCTCTTGGGAGTCAGAGTGTGCTGTCCCAAGAATTTGGCCATTCCTGATACTGATGCTGAATGAATGAAACTTAGTTTGACATGATATTTTAATGAAATTCAATTCCTTATATTTGATTGTTAGTTGTTTTCTATTTCCACTAGTCATAGCAGTTTTATTTGAGTTGCTTATTTGTTGCTGGAATCTCATGCTTAGGGTGCCTTATATTTGATTGCTAGTTGTTTTCTATTGCCATTAGTCATGGCAGTTTTATTTGAGTTGCTTATTTGTTGCTGGAATCTCATGCTTAGGGTGGAAATCCTGCTCTACTACCTAGTTCTCTCTGCCAAACCTCATTCCATCGCAGCCTCTTACTCTCTTCCTTCTAAACATTGATGTTCCTCTCTCCTAGTTCTTTTGCTCTCCTCTCCCATCGCATGAGCATATAACATTGGATCCGGATTCATGATTAGAATTATGGCAAAAGTTTTATGCTAGGTGCCAACCTAACACAACCCTCCTCCTTTATCCAGGTTTGGGACCAACCATAGTAGAGTTACTGTACCAACTTAAATGTAACTTAAAAATAAACACCCTAACTTTAAATAAAATACCTAGAAAGCCCCTAACTAATCCAGTAAATAAAAGTAATAACAAATTCAAAAATAACCGTAAAATGGCTTGAAAATTATCCTAAGTAGTGCTTGCTCTTCTGTTGTTCTTCTTGGTTTCCCTTCTAGGGTTTACGTCCTCCACGTATGCGAAAGAATCAGGAGGAACCTGCTGCTGCCAAAGAAGATTCTCACTGCCCTGACCATCTGATGCACTTTACGCATTATCAGGAGGTAACGAGGCTGAGGGAAGGATAGGATGTTTCATTACATGTATAGGCAGTATGACATTCGTTCTTCTTCACTTTGGATAAAGGAATACATCTGGTTGAGTGATGCAAGATTGTTCTCGACTGATTATTTGAACCCTAGCTAACTCAAACTTGGGGTTCAATCCAACTAAGAACTCGAAGTTACAATTTTGCTCCACAAACTTCTTATATTTGTGCCCATCTTCCATACATGCATATTTAAACATCTGATAATAATCCAACTCCTTCCATGGATTAGAAAGGAGAAATATTTTGCTAGAGATGGTCCCGCTGTCAAAGATGGGATACTTTTTCCCTTAGTTGGCAAACACAAGAGATATTCTTGCTGTAAAAGTAAGTTTGGTGTGCCGAATCGCTTTCTCCTTCGCAGTCCAACGAAACAGAAAACTCCTATTAGTCGAAGGTTACACTGAGGGTAACAACCAAGACCTTACAATCGGATTTTCAGTCTCCCACTACTCATGCAAGAAATCTATTTCTTCAGGTTCAATAATTTGCCGTTGATAAATCCCAACTTCTCTCTTTCCCCAAGGAGTATTTTTGCAGACTCTGACCATTCTAAATACTTTGTTCAGTCTAGTTTAATAACTGCAATCTGCTGATACTCATGTGAAAGTTTGTTTCCATGGATACTCATGTGAAAGTTTACTCCCAGAGTACTAGTGGTGGTAGAAGAGTGCTCTAATCCATTAATATTTGATGGGGTGTGTTAGGATACTCAAACATATGAGTATTTCTTAATATATTCAATATTTTTGGACACTCATTTTCCTTGTAATATAATTTTTTTTGAATAAGGGCATTTTTTGTCGTTAGGAGGGGTATGATAAATATTTCTATAAGAAACTAGTGACACTTTACTAGTGGTTCAGAAGCAATCATTGCAACATGCGAGTGATGTCACATCTCATGTGGATGGTGTCATCATCCATTATAATTAATAAGTACTTTTATTTCTATCAAGAATTTTTACTTTACTCCTGATTAACTACTTAAAATGCCCCTAGACAAAAACGTTATTACATGGTGGGGTAAGGGTATCAAGTGTTCAAAAATGTTGAGTATGTTAAAGCAATACTCGTATATATAATTACCCTAACATAATCCATATTTGCTATATCGTTCACTATAACATAATCCATATGTATAATTTAGGTGTGGCACCAATAGGCGATAAGATGAGAGAGAGTAGATTTAGGTGGGCTGGCCATATGTGGTGCCGACCAAGTACAACACCTGTTAGTAGGTGTGAGTTAGTTCAAGCAGAAGGACTGAAAAGGGCAAGGGGTAGGCCTAAAAGGACGTGATTGGAAGTAATCCGAAAAGGTATAGGGACTTATGGCCTCATTGAGGGTATGACCTTTAATAGAGCAGATTGGCGGACCGGGATTCATATAGCTGATCCCAATTAATTGGGAAAAGGCGATAGAGATAATGAATGATTCACTACACAACTTGTGCACACCAAAAAAAACTTACTGATTATCACAACCATAATTAAGGGAAGTAGGGAGCCTTGTGGGTAGGGTGACGATCCCGTTCTGGAACCGCGATCCCACGGTTTAGGCAAAGTATCTTGCAGGGATCCGGTCTTTCGATTTTGGGATCTCGCTCCAAAAAAAAGGGGACCACATTCCATCCTTCAGTGGAATCTAGTTCCATTTCGAAATAGATCTCTCAAATTGGGTTGTACTTGGTTGCATCATTGCCAAAATTCTCTGCAATCTCATTCTTAGCCCTTTTTATTGCATCATATATAAAGCCCATGGAGGGCTTATCAGCATCAATCAAACGCAAGACCTTCACCAAGGGAAGAAATACTAATATCGTATGCTTCACTCAACACCATGAATATTTCGAAAGAACAATATCCTATGCCTTCTTTCCCTTGGCACCTCTAGACCACTTACAACTACTCCACTCCTTTGAAGCTAACAGAGACCTTAATGCGATCCTCCTCCTATACATGCTCTGTAGACTTAAAGTTGGTAGTGGCAAATCTAGTGACCCCAAGCCTCGCTAGCTCTCTCTTCTTTGTAAACTTGCTCATCATGCTAAGGGTAAGTATGTGACTGTATATGAAGATTGTAACCTCCTTAGCCTTAAAAAGAATTCCTTTAATAGTAGGCAAATCACCAATGGCTTCAAGTATAAGATCTACACAATGTGCAGCGCAAGGAGTTCAAAATATGCGAGGCCTCTTCTATCGAAGCAAATGACCTACCGCTAGATTGGGAGCAACATACTTGAATTACAAGTTCCTCCCCAACCTCCTCAATGCCCTTATCAATGAAGAAAAATATATAATGAGCTTCATGAATATCATTGGAAGCATCAATTGATCGCAAAAAAACTGCACCCGAGGGACAATTTACCAACAAATTCTTGTTAGTCCTCCTCCTCCTATCACTCCATATATCTGCCATTAAAGAAACCCCAATTTAGCCCATCCCTCCTTATGGGTCTTGAAGTATTTGTTAGTATATTCAACTTCTTTCTTCAATAGTGGCTCTTCAATCTCATAAGGAGTTGGACCTTTCAAACCTGACCCAAATTGCGCAATTGCTTCCAGCATTGTATGGAAGCTATTCAAGTGTGCGATGTTAAAAGAAATGCCCGCATAATAAAACCACCGAGTAATATACTGAGTCATCCTGCCTCTGCCTTCCTTCTTAAATCTATTTTCAATCGTCACTTGTCTTTTCCCCTTTTTTCCCTTGCCTTTCTCAATTACTGTCTCAAGGTTAGGTGTAAAAAAACTATCTATAAGGCCCTCTCATGCGAGGCTTCTTAGATCCAAAAGCCCTCTTCGTCTTAGAGCTCTGAGTACCAACATGGCTACCTCTTCTTCCCCCTCTTCATCCTCTTCTTTAGTGTCAATATTATCATATAAAACATGGACCCCTGACTTTAATTCTGCTATATCTTTTTTTTTTGAATTTTTTTTACTTTTTTCACCTTCAATGTATTCATAAATTTCTTTCTGTACAAACTTTGAGATTTTTTTACATGGGGCAACATCACCTCTAATACCGACAAGATGTTTCTTAAATATATTTATGCCAGTCTTAGAAACATGTCCACAGTAATTGCACAATTTTATTCTTATCATTCTTATCAGGGTTAACTCAATATTTCCATCCCGAATCTCCACCCCTAGTAGACCCCATAAGAGACATCTCAAATTGAAAAAATAAAACTTAAATAAAGATTACAAATTGACATTTTCTGCCCAATCTCTGATCTTTGATGTTGGTTACCTCAATCGAGCTACTAATCAACTCAAAAGTCTTCTAATGCCACCAATAGCACCCTTAAAATAATTTCAATGAGAAAAGAAAACTTTCTCAATCCACAAAAAATACTTTTGTTTCAGACAAATTACTTTAGATTCTCAGAAATAAGTTTAACATAGAGATTGAGGGTTGTTATTTTTGACTTTGGGGGTTAAAAATCATCCCAATAATGTTTTTATACAACCTTGGGGTTCAAAATGACCCCTTTTGCCCTTTTGAGCGATTTAAAAAAACAAAAAAGGCCTTACGACCCTGGGCCTCGCCTAGGTACATCCGCTCGTGTAGGGCCCTTGGGTCTAGGCATGCGGATTTTTGGTCCAGGCTACCTAGGCGCCAGGCAGACCTTTTTTTAAAACATTGGTTGACACTTTGAGACAACACCTTAACAACTAGTGAATATAATTCAAGAACCCCACAACCATATAGAGCCCACCACAACATAGTTTACATTGTTCCTCTGTCGAAAATGGTTGCCGGCGAGTAAGAAGACTCCTTTATTACATACAAAATCATTGATGTGCTATCGTATTCTATCCCTCCCATTCTCGTCTGGGTACTGGGTGCAACCTCTCAAGTGTAGCAAGATAAGACGCTGATACTTCTTTATTGTAGTGCGGCTTTAACCTCTTCTCGCCACCAGGAGTTGGCATAGTTAACCATTTTCGGGAGTGATACTTAGGACTTAAACGGTATTGGAACATGAGGAACCCCGTTATATGACATACTTCAACTTTGATTCCTTAACTAAGGGAACTCGTACTAGCTCTACTTGGCAACCTCATTTTTATGTACATTGGAGCTTAGATTCTTGCTAGTCAAAACATTGAACCCATTGATATGGGATCTCGCTTCCATAAACCTAAGGATCTCGTTCCTTGTCTTCTTCATTGTATGAACAGTGATCCTAACCCCAGGGAGCTTCCACTATTGGGCGGTTTGGCAAATCCCGAACCGATCCCGCTCCCATCTCCAACAACTATGATCACAACCAGCCACTTGAATCATACTAGTTGACACTATCAGTTGCTTGAATCAATGATCTAACACGATTTGCCACTTGAATTCACTTACTACAAAGATCCAAGATTATACATACAAGGAATCTTTATAAAATATGAGTATTACAACTTGAATACATGGATATGACATATTAAATGGGTCCAACAAAAATTTTGAAGTCCAAATCTAGGGTTTCAAATCCAATATCACAAAATTGAGAATGATAGAAAGCAATCGTGAAATTAAGGTTTTGTGTACCAGCCACTTGAATCATACTGATCAACACAATCTGCCACTTGATTCAACCTGATTAACACAACCAGCCACTTGAATTCACTCCCAACAAAGATTCAAGACCATCCATGCATGGGATTGCGATAAAATATGAGTCTTACAACTCTAAACCATGGACATGGCATACTGAAGGGGTCCAACAACAAATTTTGAAACACCAAATCATCCTACCCAAATCTAGGGTTTCAAATCCAACTTCACAAAATCGACATGGATAGAAAGAAATCATGAAATTAGGATTTTGTGTATCATACGCTTTTCAGATTTAGGGTTTCCGACCATATGGTTGATTATGGGCATTGTATAGTCAGATCACATATTAGGGGTTGAAAAAACATCTCGAAATCTCCAACTTTGATGCCAAGTTAAAATACAACAATCAAGGGGATAAGAGACGAAGAAGAGTGAGAAAGATTATGGTCTAGAAAGAGAGAAGTTTTAGCGATAGAAGGGTGTGTGTGCTTGTGTGTGTGTGTGAGAGAGAGAGAGAGAGAGAGAGAGAGAGAGAGAGGAGGG